ATAAACCCCTTCAGGAAGACACGAGACCTGTCTGTGATGATGACCGTACATTATTATTTTATTTTATGCCCTCTAAGTACCATATTAGAAAATTATAATTTCATCATTAAGGGAATTTTTTTTTTTCTTTGCATTATTCTTTTACTTTATGCCCTATAGAGTTGGGGTACTTGGAGTGTTGGTGTGCTTGACTGGCCAGCAAACTCACAAGACCTGAACCAAGAGGACCTTATTGTCAAGAGGAAAATGAGAAACAAGAGACCAAAAAATGCAGATGAGCTGAAGGCCACTGTCAAAGAAACCTGGGCTTCCATACCACCTCAGCAGTGCCACAAACTGATCACCTCCATGCCACGCCGAATTGAGGCAGTAATTAAAGCAAAAGGAGCCCCTACCAAGTATTGAGTACATGTACAGTAAATGAACATACTTTCCAGAAGGCCAACAATTCACTAAAAATGTTTTTTTATTGGTCTTATGAAGTATTCTAATTTGTTGAGATAGTGAATTGGTGGGTTTTTGTTAAATGTTAGCCAAAATCATCACAATTAAAAGAACCAAAGATTTAATCTACTTCAGTCTGTGTGCATTGAATTTATTTAATAGACGAGTTTCACAATTTGAGTTGAATTACTGAAATAAATTAACTTTTCCACGACATTCTAATTTATTGAGATGCACCTATATATATATACACAAACTCAGGGTGCGATTTGTAAAGAAAACAGAGGGGGGGGGGGGGGGGGTGCTTTTGAAAACATAGTTTTTTTCTCCATAGGCGGATGTTGACTCCAGGGTAAGACTAACCTATCCTAATGTTAGTGTAATAGTGCACATAATACCCGTCTTTTTAGGCATGTACTAGATAATGGGTGTCATGTCATAAATATTTTTAATATGACCAAATTTGTATTTAACGTGATCCCAAATTAATAAAAACATTGCAAGATAGGCCTGTTTGTAACAATTTAATTTCCACGGTTATTCAAACAGCAATAAATAATATACAGAAAGTGAGAAAAGAACATAGGCTACATTATCAAAGAATATTATCACTGACTTCAGTATTGTGCAATAGTATTTGTAGTATTAGTAGCAATAGCAGTCTTCAGTATTTTGACTTTATTCGTGAAAGCTGTAATAGATTTAGTTTAATTGTGCAGAGGCATTTTTGTCCAATTTGATAGCATTTTTGCCCCAAGTCCTTGTTAATTTCCAATCTGTGGCCAGAGGAATGCCTCGTCCAGCCTTACACATGCTCCTGCTGTTACAGTACGAATTATGAATTATTATTTGATCTTGAGAAACTTTGAATAAATAGAATGGATAGCTTAATACTTGGTTATAATGACAGTAATTTCTTAATTTCTGTCACCCTGCCAGGAATGCAAGATCCTGTAAAATCAATCGGTAGTTATTGATATGTTGTCTTTCTCACCTCACTCTTCTTGTCAGTCAGCTCGACTCACTAGCCTCACGTGGTAAATGAAATCTAAATCCTGCTGATTATCAGTGACTGTTGCTCAGCCGCATTCAAAATTAAAATAGTTAAATAGTTAAAATAGCTATTTTAAATTGTAATATTTTTTCACAATAGTACTGTTGTTACTGCATTTTGATCAAATAACTTCAGCCTTGATGAGCATAGGATATTTCTGTCAACACCATTAAAGAAATCTTTCCAACCCTAAATGTACGCTCTTGAAAAGCCCATATAATCTGTAGCCACTTTCCTGTAACTGCTTACAGGTGTCAGTCAACCAACCAGAGCTAATAAAAACCATGTTTGCCCCTCTAGGCAAATGAGCAAGGACCATTTATGAACAACATCAATACCCATAAGCCCCTGTAACATCAACACGCTCTATTCACAAACATCAGCAGCCCATGTCCTAACTGCATGCAGTCTGATCCTCTACATGTAAACAAATTCCACACAGATTCACTCAAAACAAATTAAGTGGTAATGAATACAGTGTGGACTGATTCTGATAGCCCCTTGCATGCATTCACACATGCCACAGCTGCACGACCACACTTCTGTGAAAGCATTACTTAGCCACTGTGCGCACATTCAGTACATCCATTATGTTATCATAATCAAAAGCAATTTGTTGCTTAGTGCCATGTGTTTTTTTTTTGCCAACCATGATTAAAATGGCCCCATGGATGTTTAGATTTGGTTGGAGGGATTAAATGTAATTTAATGTAATTGTGCAAGAGTAAAGCCCAGGCAGTTGTGAGCTTTGAAAAAAAGAAAATAAAACATTAAAAAGGAAACTCTGGTAAGGTCATTCTGTACATAAAAGAGAATTTATGATTACAAGCCATGCACAGTGCAACGTTCATGCAGATTTAGGATTTTTTTTGTTCTCTCTGTAAGTTCTCCAGGCTCTCCGAGTTGTTTTTTTAAGACTTTAACCTAAAAAAAAACTTTTGTGAATGCATAAAGGTAATAAGCTTATCATCAAAACTAGTTGCAAAGTCACCATGATTTTATTTTATTTTTTTAAATGAAAGAAGTCTCTTATGCTCACCAAGACTGCAGTCATTTGGTCAAAAATACTTAAATGGTATAATTCTGAAATATTATTATATATATATATTAAATAGCTGTTTTTTATTTGAATATTGAACATGTAATTTATTCCTGTGATGCCAAAGCTGAATTTTCCATTACTCCAGTCATCAGTGTCACATGATCCTTCAGAAATCACTCTAATATGCTGATTTGGTGCTTGATATACATATTACATCAATGTGGAAAGCAGTTGTGCTGCTTAATATTTTTGTAGAAAAAGTGATACATTTTTACAGGATTCTTTGAAGAACAGAAAACTCAAAAGAACAGCATTTATTTTAAATTACTGACCCAAAACTTTTGAACAAATGCATGTCTACTTTAAGGTAAAATAATTGCCTGTTTGACTAATTGGATTTCATTATGTCAAAAACTTTCCAAAAAATAAAAAATAAAGGAAAATCATTTTGAAATTGCTATTATTATTTTCACACATGTTCTCTGGGACCCTGAACATAAAACCCGTATAATCAATCTCAACAGAACATGAGGGGCAAAGTGCATGTAAAGACATGCAAATATTAAGAACAATTCTCTGCTGACACACTTCAGCAAATCATGGAAATTAAACCTGCGTCAGAGAGTGATGGTGGCATTGAATAAATGAATTCACTGAAAAAAGAAGATTGCACAATTTTTACTTGATTATGCACAGGCAAAGTGCAATAACTACAGTGAGCTGAAAGCAATTAGACACCATTCTATTGTGGAACAGGAAACAACAATAAAAGAGGAAGCGAGAGAAAGATGATCGTAATCTTGAAAAGACTGATGTTGGGAATTGTTTAAATGAACAGATAATTTACTTGAGGATGAAAAAAGAACAAACAGATCTACATTAAAAGACAAAAAAAAACATAAAATAAATAAAAAAATACACCTATGAAGTCCAAAGCATGTAATTTTCTCTTCTTTACAGTACAGTATCAATCTCCTCCTTCAAGCGTCTGATAATGAATAAAGGCCAAAGAATGTTGCTTCAATCCACTGGATGGGCTTTAGGAGTGATTTTGCCATGTTTGGGTTAATAATAACGATAAAAATCTCTATATCTCGCCGCTTTTTAATCACACTAGCGCATTCATCTCGGAATGATTTGGAATGTAATTTGGTGGGAGAGGTAATCAGGTTTTGCGTTGATTGACTTTACGGCCTGCAGATAGAAGGGTTTTTCTGCTTCAGTAATTACCGCCTGCCATTCTCCTGTCTAGTCAGGTCTGCCTGTTGCCGTGCCGACCACCTCCCGGTGCGTATTAATGATGCGTGAGGTGTGCTGTGCCAGTGGGGAGTTACACAAAAGGAAATACTGGCGCAGTCGAGCGCGCAAGACACACGAGATTCCAGCGTTTCCACAGGTGCTTTACGCACAGGTACATTCCAACGGCACATCAGACGCAGCTGCCATCAAAATCAACAAAGTTTGCAGCGTAGACAGCTTCATTGATTAAAACCGCAACGTTTTAGCGTCTAGTTGGTGACCATTGTTGCCGAAGGTTAAATTTTGCAAGCAATCTCTTTCACTCATTGTCAATGAATGACTGTAACTCGCTGTCAGTGTGAATGCATCTTCAGTGTTGACGGGTCTCTCTGCGTTGCGTCTCTCTCTTTGTCCTTTTCTCTCTCACCTTATTTGTGATGCTTCAAAAACTCTTTTGTATCGCTCCTCCCTGATATAAACAGACTCCGAGCGCAGATGTTTTCCGACGCAAATACAAACAGAGCGTGAACTAGAATACATGCGGCACTCTCAAAGCTCCTAAATAAACAGGCACAAAGACGCAACCAAAGCATATCAGACAGAATTATGTCATCAAGAGCAGTCAAAATAAGAAAAAAAAAAACTTTTGTTTGACATATTTGACATTGTACATCTAAACTGAGAGATGCTTATTACGAGTTACGCCAGTAGGGGGAGTAGTTTTGAGAACCTGAAAGCACAACTAGCTGTAGATTGTGTTTGTGATACTCATTCACTTCATAGGGCACTACAGAGTGAAACAGGAAACGGCACGTAATTTCATAACCAGAGATCCCTCAGGAAAAGCAACATTGTTTAGATTTTTGAAGAATATACGGTAATAAAGCTCCTGCCGTGACGGCTGACAGGTTTTTGGATGGGATCGATTCACAAGACTATCCGATCATGAGATTGAAGGCATTGTGTTTTGAAAACCCAAGCTCTCACTTTAACGCATGAGGTGAGAAGAATGACGCAAATTTCAGCTCATTAATTAAATTAATGCAGTGTCAAAGACTTCATCAAAGGGACTTCTGATTATTAACGAGTCTGCAAATACAAACACTGATGTCAAAATGCTCTCAATTGGGTTGAATAAATATAATATGAGATCTAAAATATGTTTGTGACAGTTGTGTAACAGACATTGTGCGTGTGGGGGGCTGCAGATGTGTGACTTACGGGTTTCCGTAGTCCCAGACAACACACTGAGGATCTGTTGTGCCCTGTGAGGAGAAAGAAAGAACGACAGAAAAAGTTAGGAATGACAAAAAAAAATAAAATAAACCAATTAGTGTTGCATTGCAGAAAGGAATAACAATAAATACTGTTTGCATTGCATCTGTGTCTGTATGAAGAGATGAAGTGATGGAGAATATATGTGAATTTAATTGATTTATTTAACAACATAATCAAATCAGGTGGCATCTGCAAACAAACAATTATAGGCATTTATTTGAAACATATATGTTTATAGAGACGTAACAAACTGATTGTGAAATGTTTAGCTTCAGAAAAATGTATACCATATTTCTGCCACTTGGTTTAATGATTTGTTATATAATATAAATATATTCATATATTTTAAGTGTCAATAATTTGTCCAAATTTTGGGGGCCACTTTATGTATGTGCTGAATGCAAAATTACTCTTAAATGATTAAACATTAAATTAAAACAAGTATATATTTTTAATAATTGTAATTATTAATACAAATAAAAAGTCAACATTAATAATAAATGTTTCATGAGCACTAATACACAAATACAAAACAGTTATTTTAAAATGTAATAAATATTTTTTTTTTTAAAGCTGTAACCCTCCCACATTTTTGTTGTAATCTTCTTTTGTGCGACAGTGGTTACTGTTCTCTAATTCTGATCACTATGTTGCTGTGTGTAAATGTAATGTAAATGTGTTTTCCACAAAATAAATATCTTGGTTATTTTGTCAAACATGTTAGTATAACAGTGGTATACCTACAGCTAATATTCCTTCAAATTTTTAGCGATGAAAATTTGAAGAAAACAAGTATTTCTAGATTGTTCTCTAATTTTGATCTCCAATATATATATATATATATATATATATATATATATTAATGAGGAACACAATGAACTTAAATGATTTTAGCAAATGGCTGCAATATAACAAAGAGTGAAAAATTTAAGGGGGTCTGAATACTTTCCGTACCCACTGTATATATATAGCCTATATACTGTATATGTGTGTGTATATATATATATATATATATATATATATATATATATATAAACCAATTCATTCTTGATTCATTGTTTTGTGAGAGTCTGGGATGATGTCCTCACTGTATGCCCAGTGTGAGGCTCTAATCAGGGTTCAGTGGTGCATGGCTGGATGAACAGCTCATTATTGATTCATCAGTGAATCAACTGGTGTAACTGACTAATCTGTCTCAGCTCAAGTTATGCCTATTATGTCTTTTTAGGAGGAGGAATCCCACATGGGATCTTATGACCTGAACAATAATCACCTCCGACCTTCAGGAGTCTAACAGACTCCCACTAGGGCTACCAGAATCAGAGGGAAATTATATATTGTTATATAGTCTCAGTGATGTGGTATACTTCCAATGAAAATGGATTCAGCGCGATACAGACACTATACAGGATTTTTAAACATGTCATTGCCCCCAAGTGGTTAAACAATGGCACATACTGGATTGGATCAAATGGCTGAGTCACATTTTGACAGAGTAAGTGTTTGAATGACAGATGGTTGACACAGTCTGCTCCACAATGGCCTGAGAGTGGTTTTCTGGACAGAATAACAGTCGGATCAGCCCAGAAACACTCACGCAGATGTTCGATCATTGTGATATGTTTGCTAAGGCCAGTTTTAAGTGTCCAGTATGGACTCATGCCGTTCGATTGGCTCGAATGTACTTATCAGCACCACAGACAGATGGTTTTGGTACTCTCATTTATAATGAGAACAAATGACCGGAGCCGTTTTGTCATTGCAGGTGGTAAACAAAACCAACAAAACATGCAATTGAATACATAATTTCAATTTGACACTCAAATAACTGACAGCCGGATGCTTTGAACATCAGTGATCAATAACCGGTGTAGATGCCAGTATGCCCGTATTAAGGCTGATGAATGGGGAGGATCGCCAGCCAATGATACAGCTGGAGTGCACTGCCTCCATTCCCAGCAGCCTCTGGGGCTCAGGATGGCTCAGGCAGGATGTCTTCGAGCAGCTGTCCACACAGAGAGGACAAGTCCCAACACACAGCCTTAGATGCCCCACTCCGTGTCCCAAACATCTGCGGCCGGGGCTCCGCTGGACAATCTGGACACTGACCCCTGCCAAGGTCTTTCATACACAGATGGGACTCACCCAGGACTACGGCTGAGTGGGGCACGACCTAAGTACGGCAGGGGACGTGTGCATAGAAAACATTGATGAATCACATCCACTCCTATATTTCCAAAACTCACGCCTCTACGGAGGAGATAGCAGGTAAAGATTGCCATGACGACTAGGGGAACATCACAATGGCAGTGTTCTCCACGCAGCTGATTTCTGCACTGATGTACAATCCAATCTGCAGGTTTCGCACATTTTGCATAAATCCTCGAGGGTATATTTTTATTAAATTTTTTTCCCACATAAAATATTGAGAGCCTTTATGTGCAGTACTTTATGTCCTGTGTATTTAGGGATTAAAGATGCTCTATTCATAACAGATTATTAATAGAGGGTCATTCTAACAGAACTGTATTTCGTGCCTGATTATGGTGTTCAAATAGACTCACTGTGCTAGAAGTTCTGTGCTCACTACATCTCAGGCAATTTGTCACCATGAGTGAATGTGCATTGGTTATCGGTCATAACTAGTGGTATAGTTAGAACCAAAAGGGGAAATATAAGAATATATAAGAAGACAGAAATTATGGTGAACGCATGTAACCTCAATTCTGAAGGGTTAGTTTAGACAAAAATTTTATTTTCTGAAAATATATGAAAATTCAGAAAATATACGAAAAGATTCCTCTATTCTGCATATATACACAACCGATCAAAGCACGCTATTATCGGAACATTATCAGAATCTGCCGATAATGGCTTAAAATGTAGGCATTGGCCCAATGAGAAACATTATGCCGATATGCCTTGCCAATAAGACAAATTACTTGCATGTACTTAGGCTGTTCTAGCGATAAGATCACATCAGCAGTGTTGTCATTCTTGAAGCAAACTTTTGTCTGAATGATGATTAGATTCACTGTTTTGGATCATAGCATTTAATTAGAGAACGCAAGTACAGAATGACGCGTCTGGTGTACGATAGAGTAAACAGTTACCAGCGCGTGCAGCAGCAGAAACAGCCTTCCCCGGGTCCTAATGCCCCTTCAGCGAGGCCTGTTTATTCATTTAGGGCAGGGGCAGGCAAGTTGGGGCAAGAGAGCCACTGTCCTGCAGAGTTTAGCTCCAACCCTAATCAAACACACCTGAATAAGCTAATCAATGCCGCAGGATTACTAAGGCAATAGACAGGTGAGCTTTTTTTTCAGGGTTGGAGCTAAACTCTGCAGGACAGTGGCTCTGTAGTACCGAACATGCCTACCCCTGATTTAGGGGGTGCTGTTGGCCTACTTGATATAAAATGAAAGTAAAATACACAAATAACACAAAGATTGTGTTTTTGATTAAATAAAGCAGTAATTGAAGTCATGACAAGTACAAGTATGTTTTGATTTAAAGATCAGAAGCTATAGCTTACTTACAAGAATAAAAATCACAAACTTGACACTTGTAAATTAAATCATTATATATATATATATATACAGTATATATATATATATAGATTTATTCATTAATGTGTGATATATTTTTCCGAACAGATTATGGAAACTTAAATACAAAGATCTCTAAAAGATATTCAGAATTTTTACAACTCTTTTGCTTTAGACCATCTACAAATGTTAAATCTTCAGATAAAATGTTAAGGTTACCACTGCATCTGGCTGAAGGAGGATTGATTGATAGTTGATATATAGTTATTTTCAAAGCTTTCAATGTACTCTCATTATAAAGCAAGTAAGTTTGTGTTAAAAACTAACCAAAATGAAAAATAATACGTTTATAATCTCTGCACAGGAGAGACTTGGTGTTTTTTTTTCCAAACAAAAATATGTTGGTATCAGCATTGGTTATCGGCCAAAATGAGTTGAAAAATATTGACATATCGGATATCGGCAATATCATGCATCCCTACTTCAAAAGTTTGGGGTCAGCAAGTTTTTTTATTTATTTATTTTTTTAAATAAATTAATATCTATATTTCGCAAGGATGCATAAAATGTATCCAAAGTAAAGACCTTTAGATTGTTATAGAAATAAATTCAAATAAACGCTGTTCTTTTAAACTTACAAAAATATTAAGCAGCACAACTGTTTTCAATATTGATAATTGATCATATTTAAGCATCAAATTAGCATCTTAGAATGATTTGTGAAGGATCATGTGACACTGAAGACTGGAGTAATGGCTGCTTAAAATTCAGCTTTGCCACCACAGGAATAAATTATATTTTAAGAATATATTAAATTGTATTAATATTTCACAATATTACTGTTTTTACTGCATTTTGATGCATTTGAAGAGACTTTCAAAAAAAAAGTTTAACAACCCAAAAACATTTGAACGGTATTGTACAGGAAAATAAAACTGTTTCAACTAGTGATTTAGTTAAGGAAAGGTACATCAAATATATACTGTGATGTAATAGGCATATTTTGTTGGGGCATTTAATATTAAAGCCTGTTAAAATATAAATAAAAGTATAAAGTACTTACATTGAGCAAAGGGGCAAGTTCTACTGATACCAAGGGCTCGGTGGGCTTGGGTAAAGGACGTACCGTCACTGTCAGAATCTTCGAGATGATGACGAATGGATCCCTGGGAGGAAGGAACACAGAGCGAGTTAGATCCAAAACTGACTCCATTTCAAATCTACCAATATGTATAAAGGCTGGGCAACATTCAGAATTTAAGAACTGGCACCCTTCATGATTGAACTGGCCACAGCCCACAGAATGATCAATTAGAATTTGAATTGATATGACAAAATCATGAAATTCAAAACTGCAATTCAAATAAATTCAACACAGTCACACAACAGAGAACATTTATTAGTTGACAAACTGTGTGACAAAACAATAACATTTAAAATTTCTTCTAATTCTGCATATTTATTCACAGTCACTTATACACTTTTCTCAGGTGATTAGACAAATTTCTCTAAACGAAGTTCAATAATGCCAAAACAATTTACATAAAAAGAGATTTAAATTTTTGTTATTTTTTTTTTATTACATTTGTTGTTGATTTATTAAATAAAATAGAGTAAATAATACAAAAAAATACATAAATAAATTAAATACAAAACTCCATGGGTGGCATTTCAAATATTGGTTAGAATAATAATGTACATTTAACAGCAGTTGATTTCTTTGAATTTCATTGCATTTTATTTGTGCTTCCTTAAATTCGGAACACAGTTTCGCACACTGTATGCCACCTCAGTTCCAATTTGATTCAATTGAATTCTGAATGGCACACAACTCTGGCAGGTAATCCATGACAGACCATGATACAATGGCTGAGTGCCACCGTTTGTGTGTGTGTGTGTGTGTGTGTGTGTGTGTGTTTTAAATCCATTGGCAGAGCTATTTTGGACTATCCTGCGCTAAGCAAATCCATCTATTTCTGGTGTGTGTGAGGGTGTGTGTGTTATGGAGAAAGATAAAACTTGTGTATCCGTGGGTGTTGGGTCACAGGGAGTTACATTCTGTCACAAACAAATCGGGCAGGTTAGCCCCCCTGGGACAGCGAGAGCAAGGATGTGTGCTCTGTGCAGAAAATGAATGAGACACAAAGCAAAAGCAGACCAAAAACAAACAAATAGCCTTGATCCCATACATATTCAACAAGCTCCGTCACAATCAACCACACTGAGGAGCAATGACCTGGATACCCACACCTCTAACACAGCTCACAATAGAAAGAGACAGAAGCAAACACAAGCAGTGGTTGTCGGCACGCTCTTGTGTTCCTCGGGTTGAGGGCTCTGACATGTTCAGTGAGTTTGGACAGTGAACTACAGACCCCAGCTGGGCTTGAGTAGAAGAAGATACGTCCCTACATGCCCCCCAGTGTCAGCTGCACAAATCCAGTGGCGGCTCGTCGGGGGAGGCATGGGAAGCATGGCTTCCCCAAAATTTTGAGGTGAGAATGGGAGGAGGACGATTTAATGTTAATAAAATTAACAATTAATTTCAGTTCATGTCTCAGAATGTGTATTTCTTGTTTGTAATTTCACAGCTGTAATACCATAACATGTTAATGATGTTGGAAAGCGCCATTTTTCTATCGCGAATGTGCCGAATCTGCTGATGTAATTACAACCGCTAATGATAGAAAAGGGTAGGGGGAGGCCGGGGGAGAGCTGAGCTCTCGTGCCTCCGTTGGTAAAAAAAAATCAGCCAATCGCCATCGAGTATTCACTTTCAGCGCTGAGGAGTGTTAAGAAAAGAAACCTCGTAGGGGAGGCTAGCATATATATACCCAAATTGAAAAAAGGGGAACACACGCCTAACTGGATATAGGCTGCAGCAGTCGGCTTAATTAAATAGCACAACAGGCAGCTCTCCTTTAACACAGACTTTTAAGAAGGGATGGATGCTTGCTTCAAGTGATAGGCCAGGTAAGTGAAATTATATTATCTTGCTGTATGTGTGTCATTTTCTTTACGTTTTCTGACTAAAAACAACAAAAAAAGCCATTTTAAAGTGGTTAAGCAAATACTACTACTACTACTAATAATAATAATAATAATTGGCAGGGATCCCAGACCAATACAATTAGTGTGCCTCCTCTATTTTAAAACCCACGAGCCACCACTGCCAATCAGCCTAATTACACTTATCTCCTCTCTCTCAATACAGACAGGCTCTCAGTAGTGGTTACACTGGGGGCAAAGGCAACACAGTTAACCAGAATATCTAAAAATGTAGCCTCACACTTGCCCCCCTTTTTTCCCCTTACATTTGAGTATTAATTTGAATAAATAAATACATTATTAAATGTAAATTTTATTATTTATTTATTTTTTAAATGACAATTCTAATCACTTGTGGCTTTTTTACCTTTTAGTGTCCATCTAAACTAATAATGTTCCCCTGTGTCAATCTCTGTGAGAACAGCTGAGTCAGTTTGATAAGGCTTTGGCTGTGTAACAGGGCAAATCTGAGGATTTAAGACCCACATCCCTTGACACAGCATCAGAATATCCATGGTAAGGATCATGGGATTATCAGGTAGTGCAGGAATAGGAGGTATTCTAGGAATAGACAGCACTGTATGTCCATTTTAGGCTGCTGTTGTAAAACTAGAAAAGAAGACAGTGTGGGAGCACAATGAGCCTACAAAAGGTGGCAAACTTTACCATGGTTAATCCTGTATGAAGTCATATGAACTGTTGACCTCCTATCAGAATGTAAAGGGTATGGTCAAGACCTTCAAATAAGCATCTTAGTCAAATAAGCTAATTTCTAGACAGATTAAAACAGGTTTAGTGATTGTTCCACTTTCATTCTTTGGATCAATTTCGATTTTGATAATTGTCCATTGTCTCTGCAAGCTAGTGTCAATCTTATGCAGAGTAACAGAATGAGTGCCCTTAAAACAGCTTTCAAAAATTTATTAATACACACAAACACATGCATTCACACACACTCAAAGACGGGACTTACTTTGGTGGGGGCATTATGAGGCCAAGGGTGCGGTACAGAATGGCTCCAATGACGAAATACGGTGTGTCATCTGATTCTACGGGAAATAAAGGGTCACAGTGTCAAAACTTAATACTTGAAACGTCCTGAATGTCCCAGATCAAAACTCCATCAAATGAATCGAACCATAAAAAGAAGAGAAAATCTTTCAAAAGGATGAAAAAACTTAAAACATCTGAGGATGGGTTTTAAACATAAAAAAAATAAATAATAATAATAATAAATGTGTTGATTTAGAAAATATATATATATATGAAAACGTAATGTGATCAATTAATATACTTTAGATAAAAAATAAATATACTTCACATTTTAAATACATGGGAGTGTATTAATTTGAATAAACAAACAAATACATAAATATGTTTTAAATTGAACTTTAAAAAAACATTTTAAAAAGCTTTACTTTAAAAGCTTTATATTAAGGAATTATTATTAAAACATACAAAATCAGTTTAGTAAATAAAAAAACATATTTAAGTCATTATATGTACAAACATGCATATGTTTAAGTGTTTTATCTTATATTTATATTGTATTATTTTCAGCTCTTGTCTTTCTTACTAAATTAATATAGAGGGAGGGGGGACTGAGCATCATGTCACTGATCCACTTACTCATATTCAAATTTGAAGAAAAAACACATCACAACCATTTTATGACCACAATATATGCAGCTCCAGTTGAAGGAACCAAAAACACAAAGCACAATATAAAGGAAGGGTATTTAAGAAAACTCTTAGTGAGAGTCAGTACAAAGCCTGACATTTAAAAGACACCGAAAGGAGGGGATTCATAGAGATATGACCACCGATTCTGTTCCCAGGCCATCTGTCCACTCCTCCACATTGGCTCTGTAGCCCTGTTTCAGAAGCGCACATCTCCGTGCTTTTCATATCATTTGTTTTGTTCTCCCCTCTGCACGAGTGCCTTGCCTCCACATGAACCTCATCATCTGTTCTTTTCTGAAACACTATTTATCAAGGACCTCTTTCTTCTCCATCCCTCCTCACTCCCATCCAATTCTTCTTCTCCTCGAAACGCTGTAGGCACAGAGAGACTCGTCCCTGAGTAAATGCCATCATATTTCACTTATGGAGGACATGCTTTGGACACAAAGTGAAAGTGATACAGTAATAGGTGATGTAACGGGCCTAAAGTCCACATTTCATTGCTCTATTGTTCTCATGCTGCACTGGAAGTCCTCACAGCTATTCAAAGTTTATATGAGCATTTAGACCTGTTCTAAGGCACTTCAGAGGCTCTGATTTTACTGCAAATTTCATAAAGAGAAACTCAGCCATGGCTGAATCACTGTTGCAATTTTCACTGACATTATGAAATGTAAGGTTTAATAATTTAGCTTGAATAGAGCTTGTTAAAATCTCAGAACACAATATGCATACTGTCTGATGCAAAAGAATACACTTGTAACGGAGTACCAGTGGATAACGTGGTCTCATTAGCATATTTGAATCTCTCCAAAGTTGTTTATGGTTTAGAACCTTAGAACATTTATTAAATATGTTTAACAGTTTTTTTTAAGTGCCCCTATTATTAATATTGTTTTATGAGTCTCCTAAAACAGGTTTACATGCATGCAAGGTCAAAAAACACATTAGTTTTCTCAAAAAATAGATTTAATGTTACCTCATTTCAAAATGATTCGGAAACGACTCGTGCGAAGCAGTTCAAAGAATCAGTCTCTCTAAACCCCTCCTTTCCGTGAGCCCTCACTGCTGTGATTGGTCAGATGGTGCACTCCTTTGTGATTGTTCCAGAGCCGTAGAGAGATTGGCTCTGGATTGGTCTACCGCGACCAGCGTGTGTCGGAAACGAAACGCCCATTTCCATGACGGTATGACAGCCCTGGAGACTTGTCAATACATAGAAAAGATGGTATCGATTGAACCTTACCAGTTCGAGCCGGAGTCTGATGAAGAAACGGTTGAACTGGCTGATCGACAAGAGACTGACTCGCAAGCACGACTTGAGCAGGACGTTTCTCAGTGGTAAGTGTCAAGTGTTAACAAGTTTGTGGTAATTATAAGATGTGATAAAACAAATCTACTCTCACAGCGTAGGATACAGCGTCTTCTCGACATGATGTTAACCACACAGAAATTTTACAGTTTGTGGGCAGGCAAGTTGGTGACGTAGAACGTGGGCAGACATTATGCAAATGTGTTACTTTGTGACGTAGAGCTGTAACAGAATAAGATTCGAATTCCTGACGATTGCGAGCCGACTCTTTTTTTTGATAGACAATAAATGTATTTATCGTGCACTGTCGGCTTCACAACTTTGCAGATAGTTTATGTTCACATACAGCTACATGACACACTGCATGAAAGGTAATATTCGAAAAGGCATAACAGAGGCACTTTAATACTGTGTTTAACAAGATAACATGTTTACTGTGAAAAACACTTTATAAATAAATCAGAAAATGTTTCTCTTAATGTATTTTCCAGCCTTATTTTAGTATTATTCATATTCGTATATATATATATATATATATATATATATATATATATATTCATAATTTTTTTAAAGTTTTTTAAAAGGACTTTATAAATAAATCTAAACACTTTTTTTGTCTTAATTTCTGTTTCTGTGTTATTTTAATATAATTTACATAAAATTATAGAATTTTAAATTTAATTTAAAATGTTTTTAATTTTCAGTTTAATTTGAGTTTAAGTTTTAGTAATTGTGCTATGTGACTGTCACATTTGATTAGTTTTTAAATATATTTTTATTTCTTTATATTTGTTTTAATAATGTTAGTACTTCAACTTAAATTTATTTTATTATATTAGGCAACATTTCTCTTTTTGATCTAATTTTTATCTTTCAAAATTGATTTTTAACAGTTTATATTTTATAAGCACTGATGCTTACACATCTAACATTAATAGTGGGCAGAAACTATGCTAGCTAGCATAGATACATATAATACATATACACAGTATTTAAAAAAATATATTTCCTGATGATATTTTTATAATTTGTTTTGTCTTTACCACAGTGAAGAAAAAGCAACAACTTTTTTTGTCATTAAAATATCCCCTCAGACAGACACATGAAGTTTAATAGCAGTGCTTTTTTTGGACCATCATGCACTAAAAAATAACTCAAATTAGCCCTTTTAACAGATAATTCAATGCCCCAAATCTAGAAAAAACAACAAAACAGACTCTTCTAGCTCGGTTTGCTGTCAAAGGATGAATAAATGGAGGCGTGTATCATCCCTTCACTGAGAACGGGGATGTCACAGGACAAAATTATGCGACTTATCCAGGAATACTGCAGTTCTATCAGACTCAGCAAATCAAATGCCAATCAGCTCCACAGCGCTTCTGCCTGCATCTTAAACTATGAGTTAATGGATGACAATCACACAACAAGCCCTGTTGGTCTGGTTTGAATGGAACCTGACTTCTATCTTCCCTCTTTTCTCTGAGCTCTCACTTCAACAATGCTATTTTGAGAAAGGGCCCTGATGAACCTTTCCTTCTTTCAATAGAAAACCGTTCTGGACAAAGCTCAGCCCAGGGTGCCATCTTATTTCTGCTGGCAGTGGGCAGAATGGGGAGCATGTCGAGACAGGAAGTGTTTGTTATTTCCTGCTGGGTGATCCTCCACGGACAGGCAGGTCTGTAATGGTTTAGCCTGAAGTTGTTTAGACACTCAATGAGACACTAGCAATAATGGTCATTTCTTTGATGTTCGTTTGTTTCTTTCTCATTTCATTCAGCACTCTCTTCAGCCTTCAAACCAGCTCTTCCATGCCCACATCCTGTGTTTTCATTCTCTCAGGCAGAATATCTTTCGAAAGTCTGAGTCTGAGGACTGAGTGTCTGTCATGCTCGCAGATCACTATGATTTCATTGGTCCATTTATTCTTCTTATTCTCTCAACCATGTTCTCTGTCTCTTCCCAAACCACTGACTGATTGAATTCAGTTCTTCTTCAGTCAGCTAAACAAGACTGCACAGTTTAAAGCTGCTCAGTATTGTACACACAGAGTTTGGTTATTTATCGCAGAATGGGAGTTCATCTGATCAATACATGGGCATACAATTACAGGTCATATCCTCTTGAACGAGGCAAATCAGCAATACAATCTAAAGACAGTGGTGCTAAAGAATTTTCTCAAATCATAACATAACATAAAGCATTTTACAGGTCTTATTAATACAGAAGCTGACATGGTTACAGAAAAAAAAATATGAGATGGGAGAAAAATTATCCTCAAAAACCACAAACAAAACTACACAAGGTAAAAGAAAATATAATCCAGGTTACATAAATATGGGTGCAATCAATAAGAAAATAGTCTGCGCTAACCACAATGCATTCTGTGCAGTGAATTGTTGGCTGCCAAGAGCATGAAATCATCAAAACTCAATTTAACAATTCAAACAATTTTGAAACTGTGTATGGTCACTGCTAGATGTCCAAAGAAAAGTCTGTTGAGCATCACTGATTTAGGTGACTCATTCCCACATCTAAATGAAGCTGCAACGCTCAAAACTTGGCAGTGTGTACTTGTTCCAGGAGGGCTGACAAAAAAAAATCAGGAGAGTCGTGAGAAAGATGTTAAAGAATGTCAAATGTGACAGGCAAGAGAGTCATATAACATGCTAGGACACCGGAGCAGTTCACATTAAGCAGCAGAACCCTGATGAGACAGTCAGACTCACTGCTGATTCCAAAGGATCTCATTAATAACCATGATGGAGCTGCACACAGAGATGCAATGCAACTCCCATACTGTTAGCACGAAAACAACATGATAATTGAAAACACAACCCAACCAAAAGTGTATATTTACACATTGTACATATCACATAACTAACACTCTGCCTCTTTCTTGGATAAACAGTAAAACAGTGGCAAGATTAGAAAATGTTGCAAGCTGCAATCAAACTTGCATTACCTGCAAGATCACTATCAATCAACATGTCGGAGTGCATGCACTAACACAACATATCCCATATCACTCACCATCAGAGGACAGGGTGAAGACTTCTTTGGGGATGAAGAGCTTGTCATCTGCAGAACGTGCCCAGTCTTTCATTCCTCTCCTCCCCTTCATGGGGAAGTTGATGTCACTGGAAACAGCCGAAACTGGTTCTCGCTGGATGGTGATTACTGACAGAACCAGAGAAAGTTCAAATATTAAATGCTTCACGGTAGTACCTTTAAGAGATGTGTACTGCAGGACGACATGACATTTACTTGTGGCACTTTTGTGGATGCTATGAGAACTTACTGAGGTTGTTGGTGACGACCAGAAAGCTCTGGAATGGCTTTTGAGCATCTCCAATTAGATGAATAAAGTCTTCCAAAACTTGCATCAGTAACACAGATCCCAGAGAGACCTAAAAGGAAGTTAAATTGATCAAAAGTGGCAGTGAAGATATTTATAATGCTACAAAAGGTTTCTATTTCAAATAAATGTTGTTCTTTTGAACTTTCTATTCATTAAAGAATTCTGAAAAAAAATGTCTCTTTTTCAACCAAAATTAGCACTACAACTGTTTTCAATATTGATCATAAGAAATGTTTCCTGAGCACAAAATCAGCACATTAGACTGATGTGAAAATTTTGCTTTGTCATCACATGAATTATATTATTAATATATATAATAAAGAAATATAATAAAGTTTATTTACACTCAACAAAATTAATATCATGTTTTTGCCCCCGTTTTTCATGAGCTGAAATCAAATATCTAAGACTTTTTCTATGTACACAAAAGGCCTATTTCTCTCAAATATTGTTCACAAATCTGTCTAAATCTGTGTCAGTGAGCACTTCTCCTTTGCCGAGATAATCCATCCACCTCACAGGTGTGGCATATCAAGATGCTGATTAGACAGCATGATTATTGCACAGGTGTGTCTTAGGCTGGCCACAATAAAAGGCCAGACCCCGATGAGGACGATGAGCATGCAGATGAGCTTCCCTGAGACGGTTTCTGACAGTTTGTGCAGAAATTATTTGGTTATGCAAACCGATTGTTGCAGCAGCTGTCCGGGTGGCTGGTCTCAGACGATCTTGGAGGTGAAGATGCTGGATGTGGAGGTCCTGGGCTGGTTTTGTTACACGTGGTCTGCGGTTGGGAGGTCGGTTGGATGTACTGCCAAATTCTCTGAAACGCCTTTGGAGACGGCTTATGGTAGAGAAATTAACATTCAATTCACGAGCAACAGCTCTGGTTGATATTCCTGCAGTCTGCATGCCAATTGCACGCTCCCTCAAAACTTGCGACATCTGTGGCATTGTGCTGTGTGATAAAACTGCACATTTTAGAAATGCCTTTTATTGTGGCAAGCCCAAGGCACACCTGTGCAATAATCATGCTGTCTAATCAGCATCTTGATATGCCACACCTGTGAGGTGGATGGATTATCTCGGCAAAGGAGAAGTGCTCACTAACACATTTGAGAGAAATATGCCTTTTGTGTACATAGAGAAAGTCTTAGATCTTTGAGTTCAGCTCATGAAAATTGGGGGCAAAAACAAAAGTGTTGCGTTTATAATTTTGCTCAGTGTATATATATATATATATATGAAGAGTTAATTTGCAAAAACCGATAAACACCACTTTAAAAAAAATTAGCTGACTGCCGTGCATCATTCTCCACATATAGCGCGATCTGAACCCTAAACACGTTTTGTCAAAAAAGCCGGTTTTGTCCACTTTCAAGGCATCGTGAGTTCACATTTTACTGCAGAAGCCGACAAGCGCCCTTTTTGTTTTTAAACAGAAGCCGATAAGTCAATTTTAGCAAATCAGAGTGCTGTATTCAGGCCAGGTGATAAGGCTACTTTCACTTTGAAAAGATGTGCTAGCTGAGAGGAGTTTCGTCAAAGCTGACAAAGTGATCGAGGATGGATAATTTCGACGAACTTGATGAACCTGTGATATCTTCTTCAGGGCGAAAAAATAAAATAAAAGCTGAAACGTTTTCACGGAACCTTGCAAAAGCAGCGTGTTACAATGGTGAGGGAAAAGCTCAGAGTCGGATCCAGAGATGTCGGCTATGCTTTCCCAGGCCGCCGAGAGGGTAGGGCTTGAGTGGAAACCCCCACCGCGTTCCGGGCCCTCAAGGTTGGATGATTGGTTTCTCGGGGTGGCTCGCGCTGCCTCAGTGCCTTTCTTCCCGGAGGTGCATGAGCTCACCAGGTCATGGACGGCACATTTTTACTGCCGGAAACCGACCTGCTGGTTTCCTCCTCCCTCACTACCCTCGATGGTGGTGCAGCTAGGGGGTATACAAGGGTCCCCCCAGTGGAGCAGTCGATTGCGATGCAATTGTGTCCTAATACCACCTCCACCCGGCAGGGCGAACCGTGCCTCCCCTCCCGGGTCTGTAGGTACACATCTGGCTTGTCCAGCGATGCATATACGGCCTGTGGAGAAGCTGCCTCCGATTTACACACTACGGTGTTACTGCAGGTTCATCAGCATTTTTACTGCCGGAAACCGACCTGCTGGTTTCCTCCTCCCTCACTACCCTCGATGGTGGTGCAGCTAGGGGGTTTACAAGGGTCCCCCCAGTGGAGCAGTCGATTGCGATGCAATTGTGTCCTAATACCACCTCCACCCGGCAGGGCGAACCGTGCCTCCCCTCCCGGGTCTGTAGGTACACATCTGGCTTGTCCAGCGATGCATATACGGCCTGTGGAGAAGCTGCCTCCGATTTACACACTACGGTGTTACTGCAGGTTCATCAGGCCAAGGCACTGAGGGACCTGCACGAGGGTGGTCATGATCCGGAAGTTCTGAAAGAGCTCCGAACCGCTAGTGACCTCGCGCTCCAAGCGAAGAAAGGTCACCGTGAGTTCTCTGGGTCGTGCGATGTCCACACTTGTGGTCCAGGAGCGCCATCTCTGGCTGTGTCTGGTAGACATAAGGGATGCCAACAAAGTTTGGTTCCTTAATGCCCCAGTGTCCCAGACCGGCCTCTTCAGCGACACGGTCGAGAGCTTGGCCCAGCAGCTTTCTGCTGCACAAAAGCAGACTGAGGCGGGTCGTCACACCCTGCCCCGGCGGGTAGCTGCTGCCTCCACCCGGCCGCAGCGGCCCCCTGTGTCCTCCCCTGCTCCCGCGCCGCATGAGCGAAAGAGCAAGAGGCCCCGGGACGGGTCACCCAGAGAGGGAGGAAGCTGCTCTTTGGGGGATGGTGAAGGCACCCCTCCCTCCCCCGGAGGAGGGCCGGGTGGAGAATCTGGAAAATCTCTACGAGAGAGTGGTTTTCTCTGTCCCTGGGTCCTGGGCACGGAGAGTCGCGGACGGACCAGCCCCGAACCACACTCATCCTCCTCCATTACCAGCAGGCAGCAACGGGCGGTTCGAGAGTGTCAACAAAGGCCCTACTCACACACCCTCTGCCAAACTGTGGAACCAGGTAAGCGCTGCACCGTACACTCAGACCCCTCTTTGGTCTGCTCACAAGCCGCCCGAGTTGGGTCCCTGCTTTCTACTTTGCTGCCTCACTGCGGGTATGGCGGTGGTTCCGCTTGCATGGTATCTGGGTGCCTGGCTAGCACTACCCAACCCGTCTCGTTGGCTTCTGCGGACCATCAGCCTCGGCTATGCGATTCAGTTCGCCCAGCATCCCCCCAAGTTCATTCACGACAGTGAAGGCGGCCGATGCTCCTGTCTTGCGTGCGGAAATCGCAGTCCTACTGGTGAAGGATGCGATAGAGCCGGTCCCTCCAGCCGATATGAATACAGGGTTTTACAGCCCTTACTTCATTGTACCCAAGAAAGGCGGTGGGTTACGACCAATCTTGGATCTGCATGTCTTGAACCGGGCCCTTCGCCAGTTACCATTCAAGATGTTGACGTAAAAACGCATCTTCGGGGGCATCCGTCCCCAAAATTGGTTTGCAGCAATCGACCTGAAGGATGCATACTTTCATGTGTCGATCCATTTCTGCGGTTCGCGTTCGAAGGACAAGCATATCAGTACGAGGTCCTGCCCTCCGGGCTGTCCCTGTCGCCCCGTGTCTTCACGTAAGTTGTGGAGGCAGCCCTTGTTCCCCTGAGAGAACAGGGCATTTGCATTCCCAACTACCTCAACGACCGGATCATACTAGCTCAGTCTCAGCATCAGTTGTGTGCACACAGGGACTTGGTGCTTTCGTACCTCAGCCAGATGGGCCTTCAGGTCAACTGGGAAAAGAGCAAACTCTCCCCAACACAGAGGATCTCTTTTCTCGGTATGGAGTTGGATTTGGTCGAACAGACAGCACGCCTCACAAAGGAACGTGCACGGTCGGTGCTGAACTACTTTAATTCATTCAAGGGCAGGACAGCGGTCCCACTGAAACTATTTCAGAGGCTCCTGGGGCATATGGCAGCTGCAGCGGCAGTTACGCCGCTGGGGCTGCTTCATATGAGACCGCTCCAGCACTGGCTTCATGGCAGAGTCCCAAGGTTGGCGTGGCAGCATGGCACTCACCGGGTCCAAGTTACACCGGCCTGTCGCCAAACCTTCAACCTGTGGTCAGACCTTGCGTTCCTCCGGGCAGGAGTGCCCCTAGAAGAGGTCTCCAGGCATGCTGTGGTTTACACGGATGCCTCCACCACTGGCTGGGGGGGCCACGTTCAACAGGCACGCAGTGGAGGGGGGATGGGAGGGCCCCCCACTGCACTGCATGTCGCAACTCGCCCGCCACCTCCTCCTTTGGAGTCGGAAGGTTCTGAGGTCACTTCGTGCCATTCACATTCCGGGTCTGCTCAACCGTAAGGCCGACGAGCTGTCATGAGCTACGCTCCCGGGAGAATGAAGACTCCATCCCCAGACGGTCCAGCTGATTTGGAGACGTTTCTGAGCCACTCAGGTAGACCTGTTTGCCTCTCCAGAAACCTATCACTGCTATTTGTTCTACTCCCTGACCGAGGGAACACTCGGTATGGACGCACTGGCACACAGCTGGCCGCGGGGCCTGCGCAAGTATGCGTTTCCCCCAGTGAGCCTTCTCGCACAGATGCAGTGCAAGGTCAGGGAGGACGAGGAGCAGGTCCTGCTTGTGGTGCCGTATTGACCCACTCGGACCTGGTTCCCCGAACTAATTCTCCTCACGACAGCCCCTCCCTGGCAGATTCCTCTAAGGACGGATCTACTGACTCAGAGACGGGGCACCCTGTGGCACCCGCGTCCAGACCGAAGGTTCTAGGTGACCTACCCCAAGAGGTAGTTGACACCATTACTTCGGCGAGAGCACCGTCTACGAGACACGCTTATGCTTTGAAGTGGAACCTGTTCGTCGAGTGGTGTTCTTCTCACAGAGAAGACCCCCGGAGATGCCGATCAGGGTCGTGCTTTCCTTTTTGCAGCAAGGGTTAGAGTGAAGGCTGTCTCC